TAGCTTTTAGCCCAGAATAGGCTATAATTGTCCCTGCTTCCCTGCAGTGTGTAGCAGGCACCACAGAAATAAGATATATTATATTAACATGAGATTACACAAATAGCGCCTAGTTTTTTCCATTTTAAGCAGCAGAAACTTGACCAAAAACGCCATGGATATGAAAAGAAAATATGGCATAGTGGTTGTATTAATTTCCTATTACTGCCGTAGCAAATTACCACAAACAGTGGTTTACAACCACCCACATTTATTCTCTTACAGTTCTGGAGGTCAGGAGTCTAAAAGGGTGAACAGGGCTGTGCATCTTCTAGAAGCTTTAGAGGAGAATGTGTTTTCCCAGTCTTTTCCAGCTTCTAAGAGGCTGCACACATCCTTTGGTGCATGGCCCCCCATCACTCCAACCTCTGCTTCCACTGTCATCACATCTTCTTCTGTCTGACTGACTCTCCTGCATCTCTCTTGTAAGAACCCTTGTGATTACATTGGGTCCACCCAGATAATCCAGGACAATCTCCTCATTTTAAGATGATTTATTTAATCATATCTGCAAAGTCCTTTTTGACATATAGGGTAACATACTCACAGGTTCTAGTGACTAGGACATGGACTTTTTTGGGGGACCTACCACAGGGGTTGGTTAAGAGCACTGACTCTGGGTCAGCCTGCCTGGGTTCAAATTCTGCTTCTATCAATTAATAACTGCAGTATCATGGGAAAAATAATTAATTTTTCTGTACTGCAAATGTAGCTATAAAGCACAAATTTTGCAGTTTTTTAAAGGCTAAACTAAATAATATGAGTAAAGTACAAAGAATATACTAGACATAGTATAGTTAGCAATACACAGGTAGTAGAGACAACGTCTACCCACATCCAGTATCTTTGTCTAGAACAATATCTGTAGGGAGTATTTAACTGAGGACATTACCCTGATACAAAACTAGTTTGTTCAGAATGACAAGTTCTGAGTTTGAATGAAGAATCATGTTTCTCTTGCTGTATAATAATTCATGTATCGCTATATAACAACCCAGAAGAATATACATTGGTATATTTGACTTACAATGACCATTTTACCCTCACTCATAAGAAGCTGATAAACACTTTTAACCAGTGTAGCTGGTCATGGTTGGCTTTCCTCAAGATTCCGATGTTTCCCTTCTGTATGTCTCTTGCTATTCTCATCCCACAAGTCGGCACTGATATTGGTAAATGTACTTGTATCTGGGCACTTACTCTCATTCTCTTCTGACTTGGGCATTCAACATGTAATGTGAATATAGTCTTTATCAATTGACAGCCATGGGGATTTGCTTTCTGTAGTGCACTTCTCAAAATGCTAGACACGTGCTTCAGTTTTTCAACCAGGGCTGCCTGTGAGTACAAGGTCGTTTGTCTCTAACATGTGCTGCCAGTCACAGGACAATAAACAATTTGCCTGCTGAGGTGAGGGCAGGGAACTTTTGAAGAAGAGTCACTTCTCAGTTGCTTCTTGATCTGGAAATGTATCTTCTCACTCCCCTCTCACGCCCAGTAGGCAACACAGTCTGAGCCACACCACCATCTCTCTGCTCAACCACTTCAATCAACAGTGGGGTAGGCTCCATATTCATCGACCATTTCCTCTGGTTAAAACGTACTTCTGACCCTTCCTTATCACCTCCTTTATCCCTTCTAAACTCATTAACCAACTCAAACTTACTTTCTCTGTGAAAACCTTCTAGAGCCTCCAGGAAGAATTCTTTACTCTCTCTTGAAAGCTTCTTACTTTGTACTTCTACAGAGAAATTACCACAATCTATAGTCACTATTTGTTTAGCCTTCCAGCTATCTCTAGTCTATAAGATTCCTAGGCAGGGACTTAGTCTCATTTACCTTCAAACTCCTGAAATTTGACCCTGAATATTACCGATATAGGTATACTTAATGAATGAATGAATGAATGAGAGAAGACAAGGCTCAGAAATGAAAAGGGCATTAAACTCAAAAAATGGTAGCAAATACTTCTGAGATCAAACATATTAGAAAAACGAAAAATAAACAGAAAATGTTACATAAGCTGCTGAAATTTTGTGTTGAAGTATTTTCATTTTTTTTAAAGTACCTGTGAGCTTCTTTTGGAATGTTTCAGAAATTATTTTCACTTTAAAATTCTATTTGTTCATGAGTTCATTCATTCAACAATTACATATTTATTGCAAACTATATGTTAGATAAAATCATACTATTAATTCAGGTATTATATAATGTTATTACTAACATATTATATTGAAGCTCCCTGAAAATATTAACAAAGTATATAATATTCTGCTGCTTAAGATAGAGAATAGTAGAAAGACACTGCACTCCAGCTCTCATGGAGAAATTAACTAGTTCAGGTTAACTGTTTTTGTTTACTGTAGCTTTGTAAGGCATAGCTTGATATCATTTATTAATTATTTTGTATTAAGTTGAAAATAAAAATCTAGTGGGTCTTCTATTAAAGGCTTTTTTCATTAATTTTTTTGAATCTTATTTTCTTAAATCATATCTAAATGGAAACTATATTAGCTAAATGAGTGAAAAAAATGAACAGAACAGAGGTTTTTGAATAAATACAAATATTTGAACATGAGCAAATGAGTACTTCACATATAAGGAAACGGTAGATGCTGCCTTTTCACTGTGGGCACAGGTACTATGATAGAACCATATTTGTTGATTAATAACTTACAGGGATCATAAACCTAACAGTAAGTGGTAAGAATGGCAAATCTTTCTCTTAGACAGAGACTTACTCAAAAATGTCTGAAAACATCAAAATTAAGCAAATGTTGATCAAACCGAGTTTTTCAAACAAGAACAAGTTGAGTATAAACTGAACACGACTTTTAAAAAGTTGCATTGCAAATATTGTTAAAATCATATTTTAAACTAAATTTCATATTTCTAGTTACGCACATTTAGTTTTTCAATACATCAATTTGTTAAATCTATATCTCTATGATTTGTTCATAAATAATTGTTGAATAAGTGAAAAATTAAATTTTAGAGATATGGAAAAAATACCAGGAACAAATTTAATTACTAATCAATGCATTCATTCAGACAATTCAACTAGGATTAAGCTTCTTTTAAATTAAAAATAGTAGAAATCCCTGCTATTTTAAAGAAGTGTTTTTGTGTTTTGTTAATTTGTTTAAGGATTAGGTATCTACACTAACAAAATGATGTTGATTTTGGTTACGTTAGCGGCATATGGTCCTCCAGGCTATTAGATCATTTTGTTTGTTGACTGGTTTGATTTCAACTAGATTATCCATTGCGTATACAAACGGAAAAAGTTTAGAGTAAAGAAACACTTGGAATGGGTTTTCAGCTGTGCTGACAAGGGACGACTTCTGTCCAGGTCTTTCGTGGCTGAGTTGCGCAAAAAGCGTATCTAATATTCACCGAATGCAATCACAGGCACTCCTGCGAGTATTCCACCTGTATTTGTTCATTCATTACTCACAGCAACCCTTTAAGGTTGCTGTTATTATCTCCTTTTATTCAGAAGAGGAAACTGGGGCAAAAGAGACGTTAACTTGCACAACATCGCACGGGTACAGGGAAAGGGCGCCGGATTCGAACTCGCAATTTGACTCCTGAGCCTGCAAACGTCACTATCGCGCTATTCTGTCTCATCTGTCAGCATTTTATTTTGTCAGTACACTATTTTAATTCACAGAACTTCATGTCTTAACTGTGGCAAAACAACGACCGTGCTGTGGCGTACGCAGCATCTACGGGTAAAGACGCTCACTCCACCGGCAAGCGCAACGCCCTAGGCGTCCGAGTGGGTGTCGGCCCAGTCCGGTCTCCTCGGCAACAGCTGAAGCACATACTGCACCCCTCTCCCAAGATCCAGACGGGTGACGTCATTTCTTTCGTCTGGGTGGTTGCCCGGCGACGCGTCGGGCCGAAGAGCCGTGTTGGGTACCCGAGAGACCCGGCGGTGGGGAAGTCACTTCCTCCCGGAGACGCTGTTTCCTAGCAACCGCCTCCCACCTCCGTTTTTAGTCCCGCCCCCTTGCGCAGTCCAGTGCCGTGTGTCCGAGGCCGCCGGGCCCAGGCCGAAGCGCGCGGTCCCTGCCCGAGACGAGCGGCTCTGTCCTCGGGGTCGCCGGGAGTCCGCCGCAGGAGTGGCGGGGTGAGTACAGACCACGCGACAAGGAGTCGCGGAGGGACGGCGCGGAGACGGCGCTCGGGGCCGGAGAGTGCGGGGCGCTCGGCAGGCAGCGCAGTGCGGAGCGGGCGGGGACCTGGGCGCCGGCTGGCCGTGCCGGGGCGCGCGCTGCGGCGGGCTGCCGAGGCCCGGGCCTCCGCTCCGAGCACGAGAAACGTTCACCGGCCCATTTGTACAAGGATTTTCATGCAGCTCATCGCGGAAGCTTCGTTTTGTTGTATCTAGTCCTATTAACACTTTTGTGAGAGTGAAGAGTGGCTGGGAAAAAATATTACTATTTGTAGTTTAGCGTTAGGATCTTTTTCTTTCCTGGCGCTGTACGCAAGCAATTTTTTTTCTTTTTTTTTGGTGGTGCTCTTAATTATATCTTTTATGCTAACAATCCTCTTGGTAGCCTTTTAAATAAGTATGACTGTTTTGTAGGCAATGTTATGCTTTTTGAATAGAAGAGGTGAAAAATAAAGTTTCTAATTTAATTGGCATCATTTTATGGTTTTGACGTTTTGCAGTCATTTATTTGCTCATCTTTAAAATAGTTGCAAAATTATTTTAGGCTAACTTCAATTTTCATTTTTTTTTTTTGAAAACAAACTATGAGAATTTGATATTTCTTTACAAGAACTCTGTTTACATTTTTAAGTGAAGTTGTAGCTCAATGTTCTTGTGATGATTTTCTTGTTTTGTTTGGCTTTTTGGGGGGGCATTAAGTGTGGAAATAGAAATTCTCAAGCATGCAAAAAAGTCTGATTTGTTTTCTGTATATTTCAGCCGCCATCAGAGGTTGAATTATTCCTATTACTTATTAGCCATTTTATAAAGGTAAAGAGTAAAAAAAACAAAAAACAAAAACAAAACAGTATGTCTGATGAAGTTTTTAGCACAACTTTGGCATATACAAAGAGTCCAAAAGTCACCAAAAGAACTACTTTCCAGGTAAAGTATTTAAGGTAAACACTATCTTAGTAATGTTGGACTTGAAGTGATTCTGGGAACAGTCTGTATAAAGCTGGAGTAAATCTTGCGTTCCTCTTGAGATTTTGCGGGTGATCCTGTTTGACCTCCAGTGTTACCAACTCTTCTGTGTGGCTCTAAGACTCCCAAACTAGCCTCAGAACTAGGTTCTTACTAAGTTAAAAGTTAATTCAGCTTTTACAAGTTGAACAGAAACTTTAAATTGCTATTTTCATATAAAATGTTTTTTTTTCTGTTGTAACATAATAACATTTGACTTTTCTCTGTCCAGCCTCTGTAATTTTGAATTCAGCCTCTAAATTTTCAGTATTAATTACATCTATTACTTCAATATGCTGAAATAAAAGATCTTAAGTACCAGTTTCTTCCAAAATGCCAGTTTATAATAAATCCTGTCTAAGTTGAGTCCCCTCAATTAATTTATTTGATATTGTCTGTCTCCTGCTATTTAAGTGTAAGCTCCGTGAGGAGAAGGATCTTGTCTGTGATGTTCTGCATTGAGTTGAGGGCTTGGGTGCATGGCATAAAGTAGGCTTACAGTGAATATTTCTTAGATGAATGAAACCTAAGTTTGGAAGCAGTTACTAATCAAGCATTTGTTTAGAGAATTAATTCTAAATATGAGACCTCCACGTTTGGGTGGAAATTGATTTTAGTGATCTCATTTCAGGATGAACTAATAAAAGCAATTACAGCTCGCTCAGCCAGACAAAGGAGTTCTGAATACTCAGATGACTTTGACAGTGATGAGATTGGTATGTGAGAATATGAACAGTAAACCACTTTTCTTCTTTTTGTTTCCTTAGTTATATTTAACCCATCCCTCCAAAAAAATCACTATGTTAAAATAATACCTATGAATTCACTGACTTTAGATTTCCAACTTTTTTTTTTTGTTTGCTGAGGAAGATTCACCCTGAGCTGACATCTGTTGCCAATCTTCCTCTCTTTTTGTTTGAGGAAGATTAGCCCTGAGCTAACGTCTATGCCAATCTTCCTTTATTTTATATGTGGGTCGCCGCCACAGCATGGCTGACGAGTGGTGTAGGTCCGTGGCCAGGATCTGAACCTGGGAACCTGGGGCGCCAGAGCGGAGCGCACCTAACTTAACCACTACACCATAGGGCCGGCCTGATTTCTAAATTTTTAATGAGTAAAAAGCCACTTATAATTTTCTTAAAGTTGTATGATTGACCTTGGTTGTTTCTGAATGTGTATGAAAATATACATTAACTGACAGCAGCTTTCCAATAAAAGGATGCCTGTCAGTGGGAAGCCACATTGGAGACAAGAAGGTCATCTTTAAGGTCAACCCTCTGAGACCCTACAGCGAGTTAATAATTAGGGCCCATAGAACTAAACTTTGGTGTATATCAGAATCACTTTTATAATGCTTTTTATAAATCATATTTTTGGACTGTAATAGGGGCTCACTTTTAAAACCCCAGTGTATCAGTACTGGTATGATTTCGTTTGGTTTCTTTGAATTATATAAAAATATTAACATTCTAGATTTCAAGTATAAGAATACAGAATTCTAAACTTGAAATTCAGTGTTTTATACTTTAATATTCAGTGAATAACTCTCAGTATTCTCTGGAAAAATAATCAGAACAATAGTTAAATCATTGCTTTGTAGTTAAGTTAGCATTCTTTATTATTCTTGCATAGTAAAATCTAATACTCTGGTATGAATGGAATTGTAGTTCCAATGCTTTTATGGGAAAAAAGTGTAATTAGCAAATAGCTAGTTAAATTCTTCCATTTACAAATGTTCCTGATTTTATGTAATGAAGTTGTTTGTAAATAAAAGCTTTACAGTACAAAATCTAATTTAAATGTCTCATGGCTGATGGTTATTTTAAGGAACCTTTGGATGACTTTTCTCAGAGTAAGCACGGTACTTGGCACACTAGTCACACTCAATAAGTGTGTTTTGAATAAATTAATTAAATTATAATTTTTATTTCATAAATTGCCAATAAAAACTATTTTTTAGAGCCACAAATATATTTTACAAATGCATTTATTCATGGTTGTAAATTCATTTCTAGTCCTTAAGGTAATCTTTTTGATTAATGTAACCTTCAAAACTTTAAAATATGCTATTGAAAACATTTTTTCTCTTCTGTTTTTCAGTTTCCTTAGGTGATTTTTCTGACACCTCAGTAGATGAAAATTCAGTTAAGAAAAAAATGAATGATTTCCAAATATCAGATGAAGAAGAAAAGAATTCTCCAAAACTGTCTTTTTTGAAAACCAAAAAATCAAACAGTGACATAACAAAAGATGAGCCAGTATTCTCTGTCAAAAACAATGAGGAAACGGCACCAGATGGTTGTGAAGACATGGTTATAAATGCCTTATCCGAATCTCAAAATAAATACCAAGCAATTGAAAAAGAGAAAATTAAAATGAAACCTAAACCCAGAATTCTTCTGGTCAAAAACACATCTTCAGGTAATTTGTTAGGTTGCTATAATTGCATTTCTTGAAAATTTATTTTGGGATAATCAATCACAGAATGCCTTTAAATGGTAGCTAGTAAATATTTAAGAAAAAAAATCCGACTTAACTTTCAATTTTACAGACATAAATCAAAACAGTAGAACCATAGAGAAAACCCATAATTCTGATGTCCAGTTGTCTGTTCAGTCTTGCGTCTGTGCTGGTGCCTGATAGAAGGCCAGAATACCTTCAGTAGTCCACAGCTGTGGCTCCTAATGCTCCTAGGTCCAGCCTTGCCTAGGCCCGTGAGCGTCAATTTTGTTTTCAGGGTTGGAACTACAATGGAATCCTTTTTAATCCATCTCACATTCCAGAGGTTAGAGTTATAGCAGCACTGGGACTAGTCCTTAAAACAATCATTCCCATGCCACCATTTGCTAGAATATTTTTTTTGACGTTTGTATATTTAATAAAAGGAGAGAGTTTTGTTGTTGCTGTTGTTGTTTAAGCCTCCAGACTTAAACGTTTGTGTGGAAATTGATTTTAATTATCTCATTTCAGGATAAGCTAATAAAAGCAATTATAGCTCCTTAAGAAAAGTGAATCTCCATTCAGTTTCTCTATTCTCTAGGAAAATCCGCTAAAACTTACTTTTCTGAAGGGAAGCTTGTGGTGTGATCTAGGATTATAGTAGTTTCTCCACAATTCTGAGCTCTAGGCATGGTGGAGCAAAGATGGAGTGAAGCAGGCACCAACCCCTCTACGGTCCTCTGTGCCACCACGCAGAAACGTGGGCATGGAGACTTAAGGGTTTGATGTCTTCCAGTCTTTCTTCTTCTGTTTTATAGAAGAAATATTAGTTGATGGTAACCTTCATAAAAATCCCTTTCCTGGGGCGGCCCAGTGGCATAGTGGTTAAGTTCATGTGCTCCACTTTGTTGGCCCAGAGTTCGCAGGTTTGGATCCCGGGCGTGGACCCACACACTTCTCATCCAGCCATGCTGTGATGGCGTCCCACATATAAAATAGAGTAAGATTGGCATGGATGTTAGCTCAGGGACAATCTTCCTCAAGCAAAAAGAGGAAGATTGGCAACAGATGTTAGCTCAGGGCCAATCTTCCTCACCAAAACAAAACAAAACAAAACCCTTTTCCTTTATATCATCATTAAATACCATCCCAGTAAATTTTTCATACTTCACATTTTAGATGTCAGTTGTAACATCAGACACAACTTTATTTCAGACATGTCTTAGGAAACCACTCCTTTTTTCCCTGATAATCCCATTAACCTTCAAATGAAGCGAAGATATGAGTAGAACAGGGAATACTAGGAAAAAAGCCACTGTATATTAATTACGTGTGACCTTACCAAGTAGGGTAAGCCTTACTCTTCTCATGAGGAAGAGGATAAAACCTGCTCTTCCTGCCCTACAGCATTTTTTTGAGAATCCATTGAAGTGTGTCGCATAAACTATAAAATTCTACAAAAATGTACGTGCAAGGCATAATGAAACAGAATAACTTGCTAAAATGTACCTTCCCAGTGTACTGAGTATAATAAAAAGTGGAGAGAAGGGGAACAGAGTTGAACTTGGGGAATAATCCAATAGTTCACCATTTCCCAAAGTATGGCCCACAATTTGTTCATTGGTACTATGGAGAAAACATAGTTATAGAAATTTTAAACAGATTTCTTTATAAGAGTACTTCTTGGAGCCATTAATATAGAAATATGCACAGTGAATCTTAAAGGACAGAGTAGGAGTATTTCCTAGTCCTTGTTGAGTTTAGAAACTTAGTTTTGTGGATTATATTTATCCTATTTGTCTTGATTCTGAAAAGCTTTTCATTAGTTTAATAAGAAAATGTGAGTATTATAGAAGCTAAAAATTGGTCTGATATAGGTAGAGTATATCATTAGAACTTTATGGTAGATAATCAACAATAATCTACCTACTTAATATCTTTTTTTTTTTTTTTAACCTGTGACAAGTTAAAATGAGTAGAGAGATACTGTATTTTAACCACAAGATGGCACCAGGATTCAAAATGCTATACACAAATGTACAATGTGTACTATATTTTTAAACAATCATTAGCCATTTACAATTCAGTATATGTAGTATAAAAATAATTACCAAAACAGATAATTATTTACATTTGATTGTAAAAAAAAGCATTTTGAAAATGTCTAGACATATTTTTTTCTTTCTGAAAACTCAACAATACTTCTGGAAGTGGAATTTTGCTATAAAATATATTAAAATCATTATTCCTAGATTCTTCAGGTTGAAGAAAAAAATTGAGGCTAGTGGTTAGTGCCTGGCATATAGAATTCATTAAGTATTTGAATGTATAAGTGAATAATTCATGAAAGAAGGAATTTGGTTCATGAACTTAGGTTTATCCTTCTCCAAATTTTTAGACTTTTTTTTTCCTTACAAGGTTTGGAACTTAATATTTTTAATATAGTGAGATATTGCTGAGTAGCAATTAATGCTTTGTAAAAATATTAGAACCTGAAAGTTTCCTTTGTTCTTGCTTGTCTTTTGTAAAAAGTGCAGTAACAGACTCTTCCACTTTATTAAGCAGCTGTCACATGGGTAGTGATTGTAGCAAGTAATTTTTATAGGGTATGTTGTTTTTATTTTGACATTAAAATGACTAAAATCATGAACTTTGGAGTAAGGGTGTTGCTACTTTAATCCCACAAAGTAGAGTTTATGACCATGAGCACACGACCTCTTTGTTCCTCGTTTTATTTATCTGTAAAATGGGGATAATAGTGCAACCACTACTAGGGGTTTGAGGCAATTAAATGAGTTCATATATTGAAAGTGCTTAGAATAATCTTGGTGTAAATTAAGCACTCTTTTAAATGCTTTTATTATTCATTTTATTCTTTAGCATTTGTTCATAAGCAGATCATTTTGTTTATCCACATGAATTTTATTGTGAATACAATATGTTTCACTATGTTAGAAGTATTGTGATAGTAACTAGGAATATGACATTAAAAAGACATAGTACCAATCCTCTAAGGCTGTCTTAGTCCATTTGGGCTGCTATAACAAAATACCACAGACTGGGTGGCTTATAAATAATAGAAACCTGTTTCTCACGGTTCTGGAGGCTGGAAGTCTGAGATCAGAGTGCTAGCGTGGTCAGATAGGGCCCTCTTCCAGATCATAGACTTCTCATTTTATCTTTATGTGGAGGAAGGAGCAAGGGTGCTCTTTGGAGCCTCTTTTATCAGGGCACTAATCCCATTCATGAAGGTTCTGCCCTCGTGACCTAATCACCTCCCAAAGGCCCCACCTCCTAACACCATCACCTTTGGTGTTAGGATTTCAACATAAGAATTTTGGGGGGGCGCAAACATTCAGACCATAGCAAAGACTTTACAGTTTAGTGGGGAGGTGTACAAAAGGCACAGTAAGAACACAGGAAAGTGGGCACCTAAGTCTGCCTGAGGGCATCAGGGAAGACTTCCTAGAAGAGATGGCGATATTAGCAATAACTGACAAATTATAGTACCTGTAGTCAGGACTCTTAGTTTCAAATGATGCAACTCAAACAACCTTCAGTGGAGAGGGGAATTTGTCACCTTATTAAGCGTGAATGTCAGGAGGCCTTGCTTTAGGTGTGATTAAGTTTGGAGACTCAGTACTTTTGTATCATTGGATTTTCTCTCTTTACTTCTGTCCTCCCTCCCTGACTCCCCAACCCTCTCATTCTCCCGTCCCGCCCCTGTCACCCCCTTAGTTACTCCATCCCTTGGTCCTATTTTTGTGTCATGTGGTCTCTCTGTCTCAAGCAGCCCTTCAGTTGCCAGGGGAGTATGCCACTAGCAATCTCCAAATCACATCCTTCCAGCTCCATGACCTTAAAAGTGTGTCCTTCAACTCCAAATAGAAAATCACTGACCTCCTGACCACCTGTGGACAGGGGAGATTAAGTTTCTGTGATAAGCTGAGGCGGGGTGTGTGTATCATGGGCCCACCCTTCTCACTGAGGTGTGGAGGAGATATTTGTTAATCCACCAGAATCACATGGATGGAGAAGAGGAGAGACTCCCCCAAAGAAAACAGGAGTGATAGACAAACCAAAAAAAAAAGTAAATGTTCATTGAGCATTTACCATGTATGAGGCACTGTGCACTTTATATATATTATCTCCCTCATGTCCCACAGGCATCTTAGGAATTCTTAATTTATTTTGCCAATGGGAAAAATGAGGTGTGTGGAGGTTATATGATTTGTGTAAGGTTACAATGCTAATAAGTGTCAGAGCCAAGGTTCAAATCTGAAATATCTGAAAGAGTCAAACTCATACAGAGAGTAGGTCGAATGGTGGTTGCCAGGGGCTACGGGCAGGGGAAATGGGGAGCTGCTGTTCAACAGGTTTAAAGTTTCAGTTACGCAAAATGAATAAGTTCTAGAGATCTGTACAACATTGTGCCTTTAGTTAGCAATAGTATATTGTGCACTTAAATGTTTGTTAAGGAGGAAGATCTCTTATTAAGTGTTCTTACCACAACAAAAAAAAATTGACTCAATACCTTCTTTTAGGCATTTTACAATGTTCTGCTTAAACTGAGGCTTGAAAGACTTGCAAGCATTTGTCAGGAGGAGAAGCAGGAAGCGGACGTTCTAGGGAAAGAGATCAGCTTGGGTAAAGGTATGGTAGCAAGAGGGCTTGTGGCATAGCTGACAACAACACTTAGCCCAGCATTTCGAGAACACAGATTACAAAATGGGTGTGCCAATAGACAAGTCAGCATAGATAGCCACTGGCAAGACCATGAAACCTTTTATACTGTTCAAAGGCAATTAAGCTTTTATTTTGTAGGAATGGATGATGGGGAGCCATTGAAGAATTTTGTGGGGAGGAGTAATGTGAGCTGATTTGCATTTTGTAAATATCACTAAGGTAGTAATCCAGGAAAGAGTGGCTGAGGAGCTGATAGTGGGGATGTAGAAAGTGGGATAAATGAAAGAGAGATTTAGCAAGGAGAATCAATAGGGTATAGTGATGCTTTGGATACAGGGGGGAACAGGGAGGAATCTAGGATGACTCTTGGATTTTGAATTGAACATTTGGCCAGAGTTTAGGACATAACTAAAATTGGCAATGAATCATTTATAGTGGTACCAGTTTGGTATAGTTGTGGACTCTTCTAGCAGCATTCATAAGCCCGTTTATAGGTAAAGAGGAGGAAGGTGTAAATTAGTTCAGTCATGAAATTTTATCAGAAGAGCACTTTGGTAAACAATGGAGAAATGAATATGTATAACAGGTAAAATTTAGGCAAAAAGTTTATGTGAAAAACTTTCATGTAATGTTTTGAGGGCTGGAAGCATACCAGCATTAGATTCTTATTTTAAACTTTGGAGGAATGGAAATAGTAACTGAGAAATTTTAATAACTGCAGGAGAAGTTTGATGGACTTGAAGAAGAGTAATTCACAAATCATCTCCTCCTTCATTCCTCCCTCCAGTGAGAGCCAGCACTTCTATCTTCTGTACCGACATCATCGTCTTCATACTCACAGCAGCACTTACCTTTGTCTTGTCATTTTATTTCTTTAGAATCATCACCCTTCCCAACCTGTAAAGTCCTTGGACAGGGCCATCATCACTGTCTTGATAATGAGGTCCAGTAATGGGAGTACATTACTGGCAGCAGAAACTCAACAAAAGTTTCATGGATTAACCCCCTCACTTTATAGAGGTAGAAACTGGGACGTGATTTTGTTTTGTTTGTTTTAGAAAAGTATTTTTTTAATACTAGGAGAGCTTATAAAGTTGAAGAGTTAACTTCTCACAAAACTAAAGTATAGGGGCTGGCCCAGTGGTGTAGTGGTTAAGTTGGCACATTCCGCTTCAGCGGCCTGGGGTTTGCTGGTTCAGATCCTGGGCGCAGCCCTACTCACTGCTCATCAAGCCATGCTGAGGCTATGTCCCATATAGAAGAGCTACAGCTCTACAACCATGATACACAACTATGTACTGGGGCTTTGGGGAGAAACAAAAAAAGAGGAAGATTGGCAACAGATGTTAGCATAGGGCCAGTCTTCCTCAAAAAAAAAAAAGAAAGAAAGAAAGAAAGAAACAAAGTACATTTAAAAAAAAAAAAACTAACGTATACTAGTTACTTCCAGGATGGCAGCCATTTTTTTAATTTTGGTCATGAACTGTGGCTTATTTGTGCTTATTGGAGCTCTGTGTAGGGAAAGGTTTTGGGCTTCAGGACTCTCCAGGACAGGGAGCCAAGGTGCATGGGCACAGGAGGGCAGTGTAGTTGCACCCTGGCGTGTAGTTGAAGCCGTGGTCATTTTTTTGTACACTCACCTTAAAATATTTTATTTTTCAGCAGAAAACAGCAGCAGCCTTGAGGCAGACAACCACTGTAAGCCTTCGCCTCGGCCAAGGAGCCTGTTGAAAAAGCATAGCCTCAGGGAGGAGAAAGATGGGCCAGGAGAAGATCAAGAAACTGCTCTCCACGGAGAGTCAGAGGCACACTCTGCACCTTCGTCCCTCCCAAGGCTGAATGGCAGACAACTAGAAGCTGAGAAAAAAGCATTGTCTGAAAACCTTGGTCCTGAGGTTAGCACTGCAGCTGAACTGCTGTATTATGTTCTTAAAGTCAGGCTTTTGCATCTGATTATGAGAGAGAGAGAGAGAAAATGTGTGCATGCGTGTGTGTATGTGTGTGTGTGTTTTACATGTTTTCTTCAGCAATTGATAAGGAAATAATTTTGAATTTTTTTAATATACTGTATTCCATTGAGTCTAAAACTCCCTTTGTAAGATATAGCATTATTTTACGTACCACTAAGAAAGAAGAAAACTGGCAACTAGCTATGACATACCAATAATTATAAGATGCATCCAATTTCAGAGAAAGTAAAATGCGAAAAATAAGTTGCCCTTTTAAATGTGTGCAATACTGTGTATCTTTAATTGCAAGAATTTATTTTTATTTACATATCTTTGAATTATATAATTTATGGCTAAGGACAATATAGTCTGTCGTTTTATTCATTTGGTTTCATTCACTCAACAAACATGTACTGAATATTCATGATCCTGTATTCTTTGGGATATGCTAAAATGGGAGTAAATGTGATTCTTCAGATTTTCCCCAGAGAGTTTCCTATGTATTGTTATTAGGGGAGAACGCTTGGCGTCCACTTTTTACTGTGGTTCTCGGGCATTTCAGAAGGGAAAGTTCCTCCTCCATAATCAGCTTGAGCAGAGCAGGAAAAGGAACTGAATGGTACCTGGCTAAGCTTCGTTCTTGTTCTCCTCACTCCTCTGTGGTTTTGGTGTGTGAGGATCTTCCTGGGAGGTGGTGCAGAAAGAGCCGGGAGGAGCTCCTTTGGTACTATGATTAAATGGATGAGTCCTTCTAATTCAGACAGGAGGTCTGAGAGCAATAGGCTACTGATTGAAATCTTGTTCTGCGGTTCGGCTTTACCAGTAAAGCTGACAAATTGATATACATCTACCTGACTTCACTGTGCCATTTCCTAATTTGTTCTGAAAAGCAGGAGAAGAAAAGAAGTTGTTATCAAACCCAAACAATTATTTTATGTTTAGTAAAATTATCTAGTCAGGTGGATATTGTGTTAGTTTACTCTAGCTGCTGTAACAAATTGAAAACAACAGAAATTTGTTTTCTCAGTTCTGGAGGCCAGAAGTCAAAAATCAAGGTGTAGGCAGAGCCTGTTTCCTCCGAAGGCTCTGGAAAAGAATCCTTCCTCTCTTCTTTCAGCCTCTGGTGGTTGCCAGCAGTCTTTTTTTTTTTTTTGTGAGGAAGATCAGCCCTGAGCTAACATCCATGCTGAGTCCTCCTCTTTTTGCTGAGGAAGGCTGGCTCTGAGCTAACATCTATTGCCAATCCTCCTCCTCCCTCCCCCCGCAAAGCGCCAGTAGATACTTGTATGTCATAGTGGCACATCCTTCTAGTTGCTGTACGTGGGACACCGCCTCAGCATGGCCGGAGAAGCGGTGCGTCGGTGCGCGCCCGGGATCCGAACCCGGGCCGCCAGTAGCGGAGCACACGCACTTAACCGCTAAGCCACGGGGCTGGCCCCGCCAGCTGTCTTTGACATTCTTTGGCTTGTAGCTGCACCACTCCAGTCCCTGCTTCTCTCATCACGTGGCCTTCTGCCCTGTGTCTCTGTGTCTCCCTCTCTTTTCTCTGAAAGACACCAGTCACTGGATTTAGGATCCACCCTAATCCAGTATGTCCTCATCTTAACTAATTCCATCTGCAAACACCTTCTTATCCAATAAGATCACATTCTGAGGTTCTAGATAGACATAAATTTTGACAGGACAGTATTCAAACTGGTACAGATACCTAAATTTATATGCTCTTTGCTAGCATTTCTATGCCCCTTGATTAAAAAAAAAGTATTTCTAAAGTTATTAAAGTAACATCATATTATGAAAGAAAATTTAATTGAAAAATATCTACCCATAATTCCACCACCTAATAACAACTAATCATTATTCTTATTCCCTTTTAGACTGTTTTCCTATACTTGTTTTATCATATTTGTCATCTTAGCATTAATAATGTTTTCTATCATGCCTTTTGTTTATCTCTTAGCAATAAATCATGAAGTGTTTCCATGTTGCTGGGTGATCTTGAAACTGTATTCACTTTAATGACTGTAATGTATAACTATTATCTTATTGTTTGGAATATTGGATACTTCTATTTTTAATAATTTAAATTTTCCATATTCCTCATTATAAAAATCTTCCTGACTGTGCTCTGAATCCTCTTTAACCCACCTTCTCAGGGATTTCCCATCTATTTTTTCTTCAACCCTTCTCTCTCTTATGTCTGTAACGTTTGCCTCTTTGCTGCAAGAGCCAAAGACTGGAAGGGTCTTTTTCCAGCCAAGACTGGAAGGGTCTGTTTCCTTCCACATTTGACTATGTTGAAACCTCTTTAATTTTGCATAAACTCTCCCTTGACACCATACCTCTCCCCCTCCTGCCTTATCTTCCTGCAGATGTCACAGCCAGATATTGAATTTGCTTTCTCACTACGTCCTCATCTCCCACCTTTCCTTTGTGTGTGTGTGTGTGTGTGTGTGTGTGTGTGTGTATGATGATGCATATGTATGTTCATATGATAAACTAACCTAGCATTCCTGGAATAAAATCTGGTTGGTCATGGTATAATATTTTATTGTGGAATTTCATTTGTTAATATTTTGTTAAGACTTCTGCATCTGTATTTTTGGTATGAACCCAAAAGCTTGGTATCATTTTTTCCTTACTTGAGAGAATTCAGCAGTGAAATTATCTGGAATTTTCTTTGTGAAGAGGTCCTTGACACTAATTTTTTTTTTTTTTTTGATATTTTAGTTTTTAGATTTTCTATTTCATAGATTTGGTAATTTATGTCTATTAAGAAATTTGTCCATTTCGTCTGTGATGTTGAATTTATAAACAAAATTTGTTTGTGAAATTCCTTTATCCTTTTGATGGCAATAAGATTATCATGACATTCCATCTTTTACTTCTAATATACAGTTTGTGTTTTCTTTCTTTCTTGTTAAATCTTGATAGGCATTGCTCAGTTTTGTTAAACTTTTCTGAGAACCAAATTTGGCTTTGTTAATTTTCTCTATTGTTTGTTTCCAGTTTCACTGATTTTCACTCTTTACTTCTTCTTTCTTTTACTTTCTTTGGGTTTAATTTGCTTACCTTTAAGTTGGAAAAGTTGACTGTTGATTTTAAGCCTTTTGTCTTTTCTATTAAAACCATTGAAAACTATACATTTCCTTCTATGCGCTGCTTTAGCAACCCTCAGTTTTTTTGATGTCTTTTATTTTCATTATTAGTTCTTTAAATGTATCTTCTAATTTCCCTTGTGATCTCTTCTTTTACCAACTGGTTATTTTGTGGTGAATGATTTTATTTCCAAATATTTGGATCTTCTCTAGATATACTTTTGTATTGATTTATATTAATTTTATTGTGGTCAGAGAATATATCTTATATGATTTCACATTTCTAAAAATTGTTGAGGTTTTTTTTTAATGGCCCAGCCTAGGAGCATCTTGTGAAAGTTCTATTTGTATTTACAAAGGATGTGTGTTCTGCAGGCGTTGGATATAGTGTTCTGTAAATTCAGTTTAGTCATGGTGGCTGGGAGTGTCATTCAGATCTTCTCCATCCTTACTGACTTTTTGTCTAGTTGCTTTACCGATTACCAACTAAGGGGTGTTAAAATCTCCAGTTACATTTGTGAATTTGTCTTTACTTCCCTTTAGTTCTGTCAGTATTTTATAACTCTGTTATTAGGCACATACACATTTATTATTATTATGTCTTGACCCTATTTAGCATCATGAAATGTTTCTACCTCTGGTAATTCTCCTTATCTTGCAGAATGTTTAATTCATTTACTTTTTTTTTCATTCTTTTTTTTTTTTTTTTTTGGTGAGGAAGATTAACTCTGAGCTAACATCTGTTGCCAATCCTCCTATTTTTGCTGATGAAGATTGGCCCTGGGCTAACATCTGTGCCCATCTTCCTCTACTTTATATGGGACGCCACCACAGCATGGCTTGATAAGCGGTGCATAGGTCTGCACCTGGGATCTGAACCTGTGAACCCTGGACCTTTCAAGCGGAGCACGTGAACTCAACCGCTACACCACTCGGCTGGCCCCGAATTTATTTTCTTTTAATATAAGTACATTTAGGGCCAATTTATTGCTGTTTTCTATTTATCTGTTGTTTCAAATTGATGTTCTTGTTGTTGTTTGTCTGTAACACTTTTCCTGCCTCTTTTTTGAGAGTTAATCACATATGTTTCAGTTTTCCATTTTGATTCCTCTGTTGCCTTTTTAGTTATACCTATTTGCGTTATGTTTTTAGTAGTTTCTCTGTCCATTACAAGATGCATCTATAAGTTGTCTCAATCTACTTAGAGTTTATATTTCATTATTTCACAATTAATATGGAAACCTTGCAACAGTATTGTTCCATATACTCCCTCATCCATTGGGCTATTGTCATATATATTACATCTACATGTGGTACAATTCCCACAATACAGTGTTTTAACTTTTCTTTAAAGAGCCTTTTAAACTTTTTGTCTTAGACTTTTAAAGAATTAAAAGAAGATAAAAATAAATGTTTATAGTTTTCTTAAATATATATACCATTTCAGTGAATCTTCATTTCTTCCTATAGATCCAGATTACCATCTAGTGTAATTGCCCTTTAATCTTAAGAACTTATTTTTACATTTCTTGTAATGGAGGTTTGCCAGTGATGGAGTCTGTCAGTCTTTACTTATATAAAAAGCATTTATTTTGTCTTCATTTTTGAAGGATGGTTTAACTAAATATATACTTCTGGCTGGCAGTTCCGTTCTCCTACCCCAAGCTCATTGTAGATTGCCATTGTTCCTGGCCTTTATTCTCTGTTGAGAAATCAGTAATAATTCATTTTGTTGTCCTCCTGTATATAGTGTGTTCGTTTTGTTCTGGCTGTTTTCAGGAATTTTTTCAAGATTTTGCCTTTTTTCTTTGATTTACAGTTCGACTACAAGGTACCTAGGTGTGGTTTTCTTTATATTTATCTGTTTGGGGTTCATTGATTTTCCGGATCTGTAAACTGATACTTTCCATGAAAATGGCAAGTTTTTAAAAAAATGTTCCTGCCGTATTTTTCTTTCCTTTCCTTTTAATACTCTAATTATATGTACATTGAAATATTTGATACGTCTCCCCAATCTCTAAAGTTCTGTTCATGTTTCTTCAATCTTTTTTCCCTGTTTTTCAGATTGAATAATTTGTATTGCTCTATCTTCAAGTTCACTGGCTTTTTCTGCTATTTCTGATCTGCTGTTAAGTGTATCCAGTGAATTTTTAATTTCAGTATTATAGTGTTCAACTCTGGACTTTCCACTGGTTTTTGTGTGTGTGTGTGTTTTCTATATCTCTGATAAGATCCTCCATCTATTCAGCCACCATGCATATATTTCCTCTAAGTGCTTGAACATATTTATAATAGCTACTTTAAAGTCCTTGTTTGCTAACTGCAATATCTGAGTCATCTCTGGGTTGATTCCTATTGACTGGTTTTGTTTTTGTTTTCATGAGTAGGTGTCTGTTTCTGTTTCTTCACCTATTTAGTAACTTTTAATTGAATACCACATATTATAAGTAATATATGGTAGAGATTCTGGATTCTTTTATGTTCCTCTGAACATGTGTTTGAGCATGCAGATATTATGGCTGAACTCAGAATCCTAACTCTGTCTCCCCGGCCATGGATATCGACTGAAATCTATTCTTAGTTCTTTCAGTTTCTAGCTGCTGTGATTTTATAGAACCCTCTGAGGTCTTCCCCATGCCGTGCATAGATGAGCCAAGGGTTTTGGATTAATTTTATATGAATATTTTGGGGTTCATGCCCTCTACAGCTCTTCCCCAAACGTATTGGCTGATCTTCCAGTACTAAACTCTATCCTCTGACCCCTCAAGCCAGCCCTGTAAGACTGAAGCCTTCTATTATTTGAGCTGCATAGATAGAGGAATGCCTTCAGACAAAAAACTACTAACTTGCAAATTTCTTCAGGCAAAGTTTTATCTCTCAAGGTAGAGTCCAATGTTTCAGCACTTCTGCTGTCTTCCCAGATGACTTCTATCTATTACTTTTGACATATGCTTGTCTTTATACCCATAAAATATTGTAGGAAAGAAAATTAAAATTTATAATTTGTGCAACAAAATCAAACTTTTTTTTTTTTTTTGTGAGGAAGATCAACCCTGAGCTGACATCCATGCTAATCCTCCTCTTTTTGCTGAGGAAGACCGGCTCTGAGCTAACATCTATTGCCAATCCTCCTCCTTTTTTTCCTCCCCAAAGCCGCAGTAGATAGTTGTATGTCATAGTTGCACATCCTGCTAGTTGCTCTATGTGGAATGCGGCCTCAGCATGGCTGGAGAACTTCTTACGTTGTAATATCATCACTGTTAGGCTAGATCTGTAGTTATTACCTGCTGTCAAGTCAGTTCCAGCTCCTGGTGACCCTGAATGAGTGATAGCCATAGTATACTGAGAGATGTTTAGGCACACAAGTATAGTTATTTCATTTCAGAATTTTGAGGAAAATTCAAGTGTATGAAATCTATGTACTTTTCCTATCTAAAATATTTGGAAGTATCTGTCTACTTAGTTTTATAAATTGCTTCCATTTAGACAACTAGTTACATTTGTTTGAAACTAGTTTTTTACCTACTGTCTTCTTTATACTTAGAAAGGAGAGTTAGAGAAAGAGACATCAAATCTTTGCCTTAAATATTTATGAGATTTGATTTTAGAGCAGCAGGAGTTTTGAAAATTGCTAAAAACAAATGTAGAGGTGGCAGCTAAAGAACTAGAATAGCTCTTTTAGTGACCCCTTTTAATGATCAGAACATCAAGCTTGAACGTAAAGCATATAAGCCTCCCTTGGCTTAACACTTTTGGTGTTTCAGCAGCAAACTCCTACTAATGCAGATTTCAGAGTTTAGGAAATGTCTTGATAATGCTACTTCCCCCAACAGATCTTGAGAACTAAACTTACATGGTGAATATATTTTTTTAAAAACAGGATCCAAGCCTATCATCGTCATCCTTTAAAGAAGGTCTTGGAGATTCCTTTTCACCAGGATCTGAGGAAAAAGCATCCGTAAAAGGTGGTTATATCTAATTATTATATCTTATTTTATTTGTGAACTCTGTATTGCTTAGAATCCTCTTTGTAAAAGAAATAATACTTGGCATAGTATCCCCATCTTCAAAATGGGGATAATACGAGCAACCTACCTCATAGAGTGGTTCTGAGAAGTAAATGAGTTAATAATACATGTACAGCACTTAGAACAGTACCATAGTAAGCATGTAGTAAGTGTGAGGTGTGAGTTGTTAACGTTATTTCTTTCCTTAGTCCAGTGACATGTAGCTTCATGAGAGCTAAAAGGCATAGCTATTTCTAGGACTGGGATGTGTAACTAACATTTATTAAGTGCTTACTATGTAGTATAATTTTTGTCATTTTACATATGAGAAAAAGTGAAGTGCAGAAATACTGAGAAACATATCCAGGGTCAGTGATGGAGCCGTAATTTGAATCTTTGGCTCCAAAGCCTTGTTCTTTCCATCCAACATGGTGGTTAGCCGCTTTAAAGAATCCAATAATGATGCTTTTGAATTGTAAGTGCTCTCCAAATGTGCATGTATAACTGTATGTATAAAGTGATTTTAAATCTAGCTTATCTCAAAACGAGTTCCAAAAAATGTCTATAATGAAAGCAGCAGAATTAAGACTTTGACAATGAAGATATAGGTTTGGCCAGGAGGTGGATCCTGGTAGAAGTGAAAGTTGGTGATCAACACAGGAAGCACTGATTTCTATCTGTCGAGCATTCCAAAGTGTGGTAGAAGCAGAATATGAGAAGCAATTCTGTAAAAGCAAAACTGAATCCTCTGATGCCAGAGCTTGAGCCTGTCCCTTGGAGCACTGAGAGGATGAGTAATAGGCCTGTCGTTAGTGCCTCTTGGTGTCAGAGGCAACACTGCATCTTAGTGACTAGAGGATCATTTATTCTCTGTGTGGTGGTCCTTCTAAAATTGCATGAATTCTTGATTCTTTCTACATCTATACAATTTTATAACTGTACTGCTAGTAATTATAGTAGCATTGAGATGTGTGCCTCCCTCTTACACAGCCTATTGTTGCAGCTAAGAAACACAGGCTTTTGAATAGAACATTTTGCCATCTCACTTTCTTGGTTTATACATCAACAAGCTCTTTTGGTGTGTGTTTGTTTTAGGGTAGTTATTCTATTCTGTTTACTAATATGTTATTTTTTCTAAGTATTAGGTATGTCAAATGCTTTAGTAGATTGAGTAGCTTTTTTCTCTTTTATAGATCACTTTGGAAAAAAGTTTATTCAAGTTGAATATGATAGTTTTCTTCATATTTTATTTTGCAAGAAAAAGGGATTATAGTCAGTCCTGATTTAGTGGAAAGAAAATGAATCTGTTGTTTGCCTTCTTAATTCAGAAGGGACTTTCAGTGCTGTTACTGTTTCTCAAAATAGATCAGAAGGAAGACTTAACTGAAAACCACAATTCTTTGAAGCCAAGTGAAAATGAAGAGAATTCATCTTTGATAGACTTTGTTACTCCTGCACTTGAAAAATGCAAGGAAAATCAAGTGACTACTGATGACCTTGAAGAAGAAAAGGAGAAAACTGAACTGATTATGAATGATGACTTAACAGTTGATCCACCACTATTGAAATCTCAGAGTGTCTTAATATCTAGCAATGCAACTGAATCTGCAAAGGTATTTATACGAAATTCTACCTTTTATACCACAGCTTAAAACTCAAAATAGAACTTTAAATATTTTGTCTTCCAAGTTATGTACTTCTGAATTACCTGTGGAAAACCAGTCTTTTGATGGTGGTATTATATTGTCAAATGGTTCTTATTTAATTCAATAGAATTTTAACTTCAGGGAAGGTTTGCAGTGAATACATTAAAACTCAGTGTTTCATTAAAAATTGTCAGAGGTATATGATCATAATATACTGTTAAATATTTCAGAAATACATACCCTTAAGTGTATAGGTTACCATTGGTCTTCATGTTATAAAAATAAGCTATCTGGAACAATTTCTGAGGTTTTGAATTAGTGAGTTATTCCTTTGGATATCATTTTTAAAGATTTTAAAAATTTTACTGAAAATCTTTAAGAAATGTTTATCAACATCTGTGCTTGTTTAAATGAAGGGACAGGGTCATTATCAGGAACATTATTGTTATAACCTTGAGAACTAGATTCATGATGTGTGGGACTGCTTGTCCCTACACTAAATTGCACCAGAATACTATACTTATAAATTTTATGGTATAGCATTTTTAGTCTTTATTTCTCCTGAATTTAGTCTTTATCTCTTCTAGCTGCAGTTAGCTAGTGGTTATGTGTATTCATATTTGGGGAAAACAGTAGTGTTGGCTGAAAACTTACGATTGAACAGGATTTTTATGATATAGAATATTAGCTTTTTATTAAAATTTATGGAGATGGTTCATTAAACCATATTCCAGGTATATTGTTCTTAGCTATTTTCCTTAGGAAAAAAACTAATGTCAAGTTAGGGATGTGTTTACGTCTGTGCTCTCACTTTAATGCTAACACCATCTATCTATGTATAGAAGAAAAGTTATTCCTTAAAAGGAAGAAGAGTATTCTGGAATTTATAGACAGGATCTTAGAAATGTCTAGTAAAGATAAGTCTAAATTAGAATAGTCAATTTATATATAGATAATTTATATTTATAAGTAAGGTCATGACATATTTCTTTTGACTGGATCCTTGGCTTTATTCTTACTCTCTTTATTCTTGCTCTTTATTCTTACATCTCTGCTGAGTGATCTTTCTTAAGTCTGAATTGACTCGTTCCTCTGCTAAGGTCTCTGTTGGATTCTCATCATGAGAATAAAATCTAAACTCCTTACCACTTCCTAAGACTCTCACGTGATTCTTCCCTGACCATATATTCCTCCTCTCCCCACCATTCACTGGGCTTCAGCATCATTCACCTTTCTCTGGTTCTCAAAAATATCAAGCTCTCCTTTCTCAGCACTTACACTTTCTTTCCATAGCCCTCCATCCAGCCCCTTTCCACCCATCATTGTGTTAGCTCTGATATCAGCCCTCAGGGAGGCCTTCCCGGACCCCCTTCATTAAAGGAACCCCTCAGCTCACACCACTCACTCTCTGTCACTGGACCCTAGTTTATCTCCTTCATGAGTCACATTTGTTTATGTGTTTATTGTCGGTTAACCCTCTCTAAAATGCCATATCCTTGAGGGCATTTTATTCACTTATTTGTTCCCATTGCCTACAGTACTTGACACACAGTATATGCTTAAAAAATACTGATTTACTGGCAGTTTGGCCCCTAAGCCTAACTGTGATAGTTGTGGTACATAATCCATCTATGGCTTTTTCTATCTAATAGAAAACAATTGAAGATAGAAATATGAAGAATAAAAAGTCAACAAATAATAGAGCATCCAGTGCATCTGGCAGGTAATAAAGTTATCAGTATCTCTCACCTATGGGTTTACATTCCAACAAAGCTAGTTTTAATTTAACTTCCCTAAAGTAAATTTCATTTGGTGTTACTTGATTTTCTCTTAATTTCCATCTCATGAGATGAGTGGAGTAGTTACTTCATGATAAAATCCCTCAGTTGATTATATTCTTTTATAAAAAGGAATTGATTAGGGATTCTCCATACTCTACATTGCTCCTGGGATAGAGTTTCTTTCTCCTGTGTTTCCCAAGACAGTAGATATAAAGTGGTAATACAGCTGAGCTCCAGCATTATACTTCTCTATTGTGTGTCTTTATCTAACACATGAAAAATTGTACTTAAAGCCTTGAAGGTTCTGTGGACTAAATTGGTTTATTAAAATGATAAGAATCTATATAGCTTCATTCACACTGGTGATAATGAATGCCTGACTCAGAAATGCTAATTAAAACCTTCTGAATCTTTTAAATTATCATTAATCAAATGATCGTTAATCAAATACAATAGAGGTCAACAAGCTTTTTCTGTAAAGTACCAGTTAGTACATATGTGAGGCTTTGTAGGCCATACAGTCTCTGTGTAACTACTCAGTTCTGTTATTGTAACAGGAAAGCCGTCACAGACAACACGTAAAAGGATGAATATAGCTGTGGTGCAGTAATCTTGATCTACCAAAATAGATGGTGGGCCAGAGTTTCCCACCAACCCCTGAGATAGAGAATACTATTCTACCTTCATATTTAGAATGGTTTATGATGTAACAAAATAATACAAGAAACTATTAAAACCTACTTTATTAATATTGCATTTTCTGTGTAACTTGAGATGCAGTCCATGTTTCTTAAAAATGTTCTAATTACGAATACTAAAAAGAGCAGTCACTTTGGAGCTATGTAACTTAAAGTTATAGAATTTAAATTATGTTGAATGGGGCTCTTTGTGTACTAAGAAAAGACTATACATCATTTTCAAAGTAATTATAATTTATTAGATTATTATGTAGTTTTCAAATATGGTAGTTGCAGATTCTAATGAATCTTTCCCCTACTGAGTATATTGTAATATTTTATCTTGATTCATTTGGATCTTTTCAGATTAATGACTTCTGCGTTTTTAAAGAAATCTAGTTCTACAAGGAAAACTCCATCGGCAACTACCTCTTCTCACTATTTAGGGACTTTGAAAGTCTTGGACCAAAAGCCCTCACAGAAACAGAACATGGAAGCTGACAGAGCAGATAACATAAGGGCAGCTGTTTATCAGGTAAAAAGGAAAATATTAAAAATAAAAAAATAAGAATAACTACTCACTTGCATAGTGTTACCTGTTCATCAAGGAATAAAAAGGCCCCTCAGAAATGATGGTTTAATACTTAATTTATTGGGAAAGATTTTCCTTTAGAATAACATGAGCAACCCAAAGCTTTTTTTACTAAATCATTTTATTCCAAGCTTTGTTTAACTGATCATAGTTTTTTTTAAAGAAAGTGAGTATGCCATGGCACTTGATAAAAATGTAGCAAAAGAAAAAATATTGTTAAAGTCTATATATGCGTCTATGCTTTTTCTCCTTATAGTTGATATTGTTAACAAACAAAAAGAGTTTTAAAATGTTTTCTCTCCTGAGACTTTGTATTTGAATTAGGCTTACACAGAAAAAGATCTTACTGATTTTTTCACAATTCCAAAAAAGGTCTTTTTTTGTCTAGTACACATTAGAAAATTGTACATGTAATTTCACAGAAAAATGTTAATATATATAGCTATTATATTGAGTCTTTGAAGTCTGTTAATACTAAGAAAGATAACATGCATATTATTTTCTTAATTAGTACTCATTTTTATATATTAGAATATTATCAGAAAAAGAAAAATGATACTAATTTATATAGAACTTATAAATTTTGTTTTGCTTTTTAAAGTTTTAACCAAATATCTCAAAAATAGATAAGAATTCTAATTCATTTGGGAAACTTTGAATATCATATAGCCTTTTTCTTGTTCTTACAGGAGTGGTTAGAAAAGAAAAATGTATATTTACATGAAATGCACAGAATTAAAAGGATTGAAAGTGAAAACTTAAGGATCCAAAATGAACAGGTATTCTGAAATATAGGAGAGAAAAATATACTGGATTTTTCTGTCAGTAAAATATCTACAAATATTTAACGTTTCTAAATCAACTGTTTTTTAAATGGCAAAGCAACTTGCATATAAAAGAATTGATTTCTGATTTTACTTCTCTGGTACTTTATACATTTTTAGCTTGATATAAATGTATTATAACTGTTTTACATGGAAACACAAACACACAGAGATTTTTAATATTTTATTTTATTTTTTATATGTGTGGAGTAGCTCTGGCACTGCTGAATATAAGTTTATTGCTTGTGACTACCTACTTCACTCTGAAAAATTAACTTCAATCTTACAACTTAGCCAGGAATATAAAGGGTCATCAGACATCAACCAGTTCTCCTCTTTTCTGTCTTGAATTTTATATGGATCTTCAAGACCAGCCTCTCCTGAGCTCTTGGCTCGTGTCCTTCCCATTGACTGGACTCTTGTTTTACTCCCTCCCATCCTTTCAGTCTCTGCCTCAAACTCCTGCCTGATAGCCTGCTCATCTTTCTCATTGTCCCAACTTCTAAAACAAAATCCCTAAAAGAAAATCCCTTCTCCTGCTGTTCAGTAGTAAAATGGATTTAGAAAGAAACATTTCCTAAATGCACAGTACCATATGGAGCAGCCCTACAAGGGGTGCCTGAATACCTGTCACCACAACTGCAGCGTTATACTGCTGTGGTCAGTGCCAGACACCTTCTCATCTGGGCTTCACCATTCGGTGAGATGGGCAGTACTTTTACTTCTAAATTATGTTATCTCCATAATAAAGCTTTCTATCATTTAATGTTAAGCAATGTTATAAGGCAAACATAGGATATTATGGGATTAGATTGAAGTAAGTAAAGTAATAACATACTTGCTATATGCTCATCTATGTATTTTCCAATCTGGCATGCATTTTCAACATTTGGGATATGTTTATGTGGTACGAATTTTATGCTTCAGTGTCAGTCAAAACTTGCGTTCAAAGCAAAGATTTGTGGCTTACTGTGGGACTTGGCCAATTTATCTTACTCTGACTTACTTTATAAGCCTATAACTTTCCTGATGTTTTTCTTTTACTGAAATATTTTATTATGAACATTTTACAGTACCACCTAGCCTATTACAGTTTACTTTGATAACATTTGTTTGGTACAGTTCCAAAAAAATTGACTTCCTTCCCATGAATAGTAGTAGATCAATATCTGATAAATGCTTTTAGAAAAGGACGTTTTAAAAGGCAATGAATAATTCAGATAACATTTTTTATAAATTAACTTGTCTAAAGCATCCTAAATCAATTATCTGCCTTGAAACCTAATTTCTATATATGATGAATCCCAAGGAAATTACAGATAAATACATATATGTGTATCTGTATCTATCTTTATTTGTCTAGCTATTTATACACACATATGTAACTGTCTATTATTTTTCCAAAATAGAAAAGAGCTGCTAAGAGAGAAGAAGCATTAGCATCATTTGAGGCCTGGAAGGCTATGAAAGAAAAGGAAGCAAAGAAAATAGCTGCGAAAAAAAAGCTCGAGGAAAAAAACAAGAAGAAAACTGAAGAAGAAAACGCTGTGAGAAAAGGAGAAGCCCTACAGGTATTCAACAGCTTTGAATATATTTCTTAAGTATTTTTAAATACTTGGAATCTAAATTAGTGACTAACTGTGTTTTTACTTATTTTATAATATTCACAGTAAATAAGAAAATCATTCTGAACTTTTTCAGGCTTTTGAAAGATGGAAAGAGAAAAAGATGGAATATCTTAAAGAGAAAAATAAAAAGGAGAAAGAATATGAAAGAGCAAAGAAACAGAAAGAGGAGGAAACTGTTGCTGAGAAAAGGAAAGATAACTTAACTGCTGTTGAAAAATGGTAATCCAAAATAATAAACATTTTGACAGAGTTTAAATTAATAACACTTTAGGCTTTTCCAAAATTTGTTTACTTGAAATTGACCAATGCATCTCAATCTCATTATTGCAAGGGTATATTAGGGAATCTGTATTATATATTCTTTAACTTTCCAGTGTTTTATGCTATCCTACATAGGAATGAAAAAAAGGAAGCTTTGTTCAAAGAAAAGGAAAAGGAGAAAATAAATGAGAAAAGAAAGGAAGAACTGAAAAGAGCTGAGAAAAAAGATAAAGATAAACAAGCCATTGATGAATATGAAAAATGGCTGGTAGGTATCATTTGTTAATGCACTCGTGTCTTTTTAACGTATTTTTTTGTGACTTTTCTGTCCCTAATGCCAGTTCTGTTTGGCCCTGCCTACTGACCATTTCTACCTGGAAGCTGCCTTCTTGAATTCATTCTATCCCACATATATCGTATTTTCTTTGCTTTAATCATTTCTATTAATGCTTATCCTATTCCCTAAAGTACTCAGGCTTAAAACTTCAGTCATAATAGTCTTCCTTACCTGCATCCCCATCTTTAGTCATTTACCCATCATGCCCGTTCTTCCTCTTAAACAATTATCATATTTAAAATCATAAAAGCTGACAAATGTACTACTGAAGGTATGCCAGACTATTTTAGGTGGAACTTGGTCATGACACACACTAACATTGAATTTAATGGTAAGAAAGTTATTCCATTTTTTATTCTCTTTTGAGCTTTCTGATGACCTCAAGGAAAAGGTCTTGTTTAGGTGGGTTTTTTTGTTTGTTTGTTTGTTTTTTTGGTAAGGAACATTAGCCCTGAGCTAACATCTGTTGCCAATACTCCTCTTTTTGCTGAGGAAGATTGGCCCTGGCCTAACGTCTATGCCCATCTTCCTCTACTTTATATGTGGGATGCCTACCACAGCGTGGCTTGATAAGCAGTGCATAGGTCCACGCCCGGGATCTGAACCTGCGAACCCCCAGCCACTGAAGTGGAGCACACGAACTTAACCACTGTCCCACCAGGCCAGCCCCAAGTTTAGGTGTTTTTTAATGAAAGAAAGCAAGTATGAAGTTTGGGAGGAAAACATCTAGCTGGACTTTATATTTTTTGGTTTTTTTAATGTATTTTTGTTTCAGTGTATTTATGTTTATAGTTATTTTTCATTAATGTCAAGCAAAATACTGTACTTAACATATCACGTTTCAGCAATCAAAAATTGTAAAATTTCTCTACAGGGTTTGGGACCCAATAAGGTTTCTTATCAAACATTTTTTGAGTTCATGCCAATCTGCTAGTTAAAAAATACCATCCAGGGTATTTTGTAGTTGCATTTCTCTGGTTAAGATTGAGCTTGAGTATCTTTTCATTTGTATAAGGGTCATTTGTTTTTTTTTTTCAGTAAACTGAAAAAAGTCAATTCATAGACTTTGCACATTTTTCTCTTGGTCTTTTTCATATTGATTTTTGGAAGCTTTTTTATGTACTAGGGAAAGTAGCCCATTATTTCTGATATGGGTTACAAATATTTTTTCCTAATTTTTTGTTGGTCTCTCAATTTTGGGTATAGTATTTCATGCCATGAAGAATTTTATTTTCTGATGTCAAATTTACCAGTCTTTTCTTTGAGGTTCTGATTTTCAGGAGTAGTTGAAAAGACCTTCTCCATAACTTGAGGGTAAACAAAGTGCTCCCATTTTTCTTCTAATAACTTTATGATTTTAATATCTTAACATTTTAACGTTTGATCTACTTAAAATTTATCCTGATATATGGTGGGAAATATGATTCCAACTTTATTTTTTCCGAATACATCTTTTATGAAATAGTCATCTTTTACCCACTGATTTGAGGTACTTCCTTTATTATATGATACATTCCTAGATTTTTGGGTCTGTCTCTTGCCTTTCTGTTCCATTGGTCAATCCCATTGTACATTTCCAGTAGCACACTGTTTCATTAGCAGGGCTTTATGTGTTTTCATATCTGTTTGGGTTAATCTTCCTTCATAGCTCTTCTTTCAAAGTATTTCTGACTACCATTCTTTATTTTTTCACATAAACTTTTGAATCAGCAGTAGCTAGAGAGGCATACAGGACCCAAAGCAGGCTATTTAAAGATAGAATAGAAAGATGAAACACTTAGGAATAAACTTAAGAAGTGTTCAAGACAAATATGAAGAAAAGTTTAAAACACTCCTGAAGGATGCATGTGAAGACTTGAGAAAATCGATCAAAACTGCTCTTGGATAGAAACAGTCTTATAATGATGCTATAAAGATGTTAGTTCTCCCTGAAGTAACTTGCAAACTTAATGCAATCCTAATAAAAATACCAACAGAATTTATTGTTGTTTATGTGTTGACTTTGGTGCTGCTATATGCTAATTCCATGCAAAAAAAGAGTAATAAAATAGCGTGATCAAAATAGGTTCAGTGATTTGAATGAGGAAAGTAGTGTTTCATGTTGATTTTCTTAGATTAAACTCTTAAATAATCCTTTGTTCTAAGAAAAATTAAGTCTTCTTATGTTAAGGAGATGTATACGGACTCTGCTAGCTTCGCTTAGAGTAAATGGAAATGTTTAAGTTTTCAGTTTTATTTTCACATTCTTGTGAAAATGGAATAGAATTTCCTTAATGACTAAGTCATGGTTAGGTATATTATGTTTTATTATAGTATTTAGGCACTTACTCATTCTAATCAATCTTCTGGAGAACAAACACCTGTCAAAGACCTAAGAGGAAAATAACTTGTTTTGATATGTAGTATAACCTCTACAGATATAGTGCTACCTATAAAATCATCCACATACAACATGTTACAGATCTACTCCCTGTCTTAACAATTTCTTATTGAGATTTGTTTGCAGATAGAATGGAAAAATACCCCTATGTGGAAGTCTAATGACTTCAATTTTCATGTAAAGTAACATCTCAAAATTTTGATATACAACCTAGCTTGGGTAGTGAGTATTTGATGGGTAATTGTTTTAGAGGAAAATTGTAGCCAAAGATCAAGTAAGAATCTCTTCTTCATGCTGGTTCCCATATTAACTCATAGTTAACTTTGACAAGAAAATAAGTTAAAGGTTCAGTCCCCAACAGATAACAGGACTAAGAGAAGGACTTTTCAACAAGGTTCTTTTAATTATTATTCAAGATAATATTATTAATCCATGTTAATTGATATTAAGGGTGATAATTAATTGATAATTTTCTGTCCTTTTTAGCACCTGCTGGTAAGATCACACTTGTTTTGAGTTCCTCTCCCCGTCTTAAATAGAATGGGCCAAAAGAGGTTTGTTCAGTCAGTTTCTGTGGACACATCCTGGTCACTGCTTTTCCCTCACCCAGCTGGAGAGTCTGCCTCTCTCTAAAATACTAAAATGGTTGACAATGATGCAATGACAGCTTTTATTTTCTCAACTGGGATTCTGAAAGGAAGTCCGCTCTTTGCTTTGTTAGGAGTAGCAAGCACGCAAGCATTCTAATGACACAGAGCAAAATGTTAAGACAGGAAAAAAACATCTCACACTTCTCTTCACTCCTTTTGTTGTATGTGAATGATTGTATGCTAGTTGAAGCCTTGTAGTATCCAATTCTCCCTGTGACGTTGAACAATTCCATATATGTACTAATGAAAGCACAGACACCTAATAATTTACCAAAATACCACCCCTCCCAGGCTAGCCAGCTTGCAGAGCAGAGGCATGGGTGTCCCAGGGTTCCCTGATCCCGCTGCTCTTAGAGAAATATGAGGACATCACCCAACTTTATAGTTTTAGCAGCGACTTAAAGAAATGAAGAGACTATCCAAGCTGCAGGATGGAAAGGCCAAATGCTATTAACATTTCAAGTGTTTCTAGATTAATGTTTAGATTTCATATCAATCCTCAGATACTCAGTCATTCCTTTGAAGGGATTATGTACAGGGAAACAAAATGGTTTAAAATTCATCTGGTATAATAAAAATGTGAGAATATGGGAGATAATATTTTCAAAATAATGTGAAGCAGGACTGTTCCTATCAGTCAATAAAATATAAACTCCCCATCCTCCTCTCCTGTGAGTCAGCTTTCTCCTACCCTCCTGGATTATTCCCATCAGATCCCAGGATGTGTAATCTTAAAGAAAAATAAACCCTCTCAATTCCTCATTTCCCTCACATTTCGCTGCTCTTTTTTGTAGCTAAACTTGTAGAAAGTTTTGCTTTGCACTTTCTTGGTTCTCCATATGCTTTTCATCCTCGACACACCCCAGTCTTGTCTCTTTCCCAGAACTACACTTTGAAAGTTACAGTCTTGCCAGGCCATCTAGCCAATTGATTGTATTCTTTTCTGCCCATTTGCTAGACCTCTCAGCATTCTGCACAGTCAGTTTCCCCTTCTGCTTGCCACTGTCTCCTCCCCCCTGGCTGTCATATTCCCCCCACTCTATCTGTCACCTCTGCCTGCGTCTCTGTGTGTCACTTGTTGACATCTCTTCTCTTACCAGTGTTCTAAGTGTTCCCGTGGCCTGCAACGCCCCGTGTAATCTTACTCTCCCGTTTTCTTCTCGTCTGGCACCCTCTCCCGTCTCCCAAGTTTTAGTAACACTGGCTCTTTTGTTTCTTCTGACGTCCCAGGTTTTTCCCCGCTTGTCAGAGCCCTCGCACACGGTTCTGTCTGCTTGAATGCTCTCTCCTCAGTGCACATCACGAGTGCCTTCTCCTATCCATCACGTCTCACTTTAAAGTGACTTTCCCTGAATCCACTTCTCTTTGAAAGTAAATACTCCCTTTTACTCTTTTTTAATCACAACAATTTATGTGTTTCATAGAAATTCACATGATTTGGGATTCTCTCTTTTTTATTTACTTGTTTATTAACTGTCCATTTTTTGAAAGTTCCCTAAGGGACAAGGACCATATCAGTGTGTTTGAATTTTATAATTAGTTTGTCCATGACACCTAGTATACCATTGACCCGGAGTAGGATCTCAGTGCCTTAACAGTTGAATGGATAAACACAGATCGAAGCAGTATAGTACCAGTAGAGTAATAGACCCACAGGACACCTCAGAACCTGTTACAAGTAAGGATGTGCTATACAACAAAGCAACACAAACTAATGGATGCAAGGAAATAACAATTGGGATTATTTGTGTGACATTTGGACGTAAAATCACTTCAAAGAATTACCTGGCAGCAATAGAAACTCTAAAATAATTAAAACATTAAATATAAAATGACAAGCAATAGAAGAACAAAAAGAAAATATTAAACAATATGTATCAAATCTCATGGGGACGAGATGATTTTCTAAACCTAGAAGTGCTATAAGAAATAACAAAGGAAAAGATGAACAGATATTGAATTTAAAATCACTAATACCTCAAAATAAAAACTCAGTGTAGGTGCTAGTTGAAAGGTGAATACCTACAGCCACTTTGAAGAATAAATTGTCATTGCCCAACAAAGTTGAACATATGCATCCCCTACAAACCAGCAATTTCACTCCTAGGCATATACATGTATGTGAAGGGAAAAATTTTGGCTTAAAAGCACAAGGAATCAAACAGGGATGTTTATAACAGCATTGTCTTTGTGTGGAAAAAAATGAGAACATCATGTCTTCAACAAAAAAATAGATTAGTAAATTGTGATATGTTGATATGCTAGAATTCTGTACATCAGTGAGCTAAAGCTACAGATCCATATAGATGGATCTTAAGAATATGATGATTAAAAAAGTTAGAAAAAGGGGCCGGCCCGGTGGCGTAGTGGTTGAGTTCAAACGCTTTGCTGCGGTGGCCCAGGGGGTCCGCAGGTTCGGATCTCAGGCACGGACCTATGCACCACTTATCAAGCCATGCTGTGGCAGACATCCCACATATATGGTAGAGGAAGATGGGAACGGATGTTAGCCCATGGCTAATCTTCCTCACCAAAAAATAAAAAAAGTTACAAAAGAATATATAACATGATACCTTTTACTACAAATTCTAAAAATCTGCAAAACAAAATTAGTTGTGGTGTGGGGATGAATACATATGTAATAAAAGTATTAAGAGAGGTACTGCAATGATAAGGGTAAAGTTCAGAGTAATGGTTATTACCTCAGTAGGGTGGAGGGGGAGGAAGGTGTGATGAGGGAGTGGACACAGGCAGCTTCAAGAGTCTTGGTCATCTTTTATTTCATGAGACAGATAGTGGTACACAGATTGTGATTATATTACCCTTTAAACAGTTGTCTAGGCTGAAATATTTATTTTCTTGTAAAAATTAAGGGCTAAAAGTAATATAGATAAAATGTTTGCTGCAAAAATAATATTTATTGTATGAAAATACTCAAATTGCTAAAAATTAAAAGCACTCATATGCATACAGTTAGATGAGCCAAATAATCAAGCACAAAATTCACAAAAAGGCTAACGAAATGAAAACGTGCTCAAGCTCAATAATAAGCAAAGAAACATGAAAGTCAATTTTCAGCTATTTGTAAAAGCATTTGAAGTATCCCATGCTGCCATGGCCTATTCAAGCTTTGCATTCAGTAAATTTACTTCTGAGAATCTGTTCTCAGAAAGTCATCACTACCTTCTAATAATTATTCTCTTTGAGTTATGGAATTAGAGGTCTTCTTTTTCTATTTTACATAGCTATTTTTTAAATATTGTCACTTTGAATATTAAAAAAAATTGGGGCCAGTCCCATGGCCTAGTGGTTAAGTTCAGTGCACTCCGCTTCAGCAGCCTGGTTTCGGTTCCCAGGTGCCGACCTGCACCACTTAATAGGCGGCCATGCTGTGGTGGCAACGCAATACAAAATAGAGGAAGATTGAGCACAGATGTTAGCTCAGGGCAAATCTTCCTCAGCAAAAAAAAAAAAAAAAAATTGGTACATTAATACCTATTGGTAGTATACTTATTAATTAGCAATATTCCCTCGCTGCTGTTCCTTTGTAACCAATTAAACTAGGAAATGACATTTAAATATCACGGATTATTTTATTCTTCAGCAGGCAACTGAATTTGAAAGTAATATTCATATATGTATATAAATTTATAGTTTTCTATTTTTCTCTTTAGGAAAAGAAAGAAAGGCAGGAAAGAATTGAACGAAAACAAAAGAAACATCATTCCTTTCTTGAAAATGAGGCACTTCCTCCATGGAGCCCTCCAAGCAGAACTGTGTTCTCAAAAGCGTTTTGATAATTCTAATTCTTACGTTTAGTTATTTATCAATTTACCAATTTTAACCATGGGTTTAAAACTATTCATTCAATTATTTATCATTAGAGGAGTCTATTTGAATTAAATGCCAACTACTTCTGCTCACAGTGAAGAAGATGCTTTGGAGTTTAACCATTGAAAGCATTTTTTGAACTGTAGATAACCTGCCTCAAATGAAAACCTAATAATCAGATTGCTTTTACTATTAATACATAACCTTTATCATATCCTGATAATTCTTACAGTCAGATGATCCATGATCACTGTCACTAAGCTGTGCATGTTATTTAAGTATGTTTATTCCCAGTACTAAAAAGGAAACCATCTAGGTACCATAATCATAGAAATAATTGAATATGTGACTAATTATGCATCTAGGTTCAGGTTTTAAAATGAATAGTTGCTGGGGAGTATGCATATATTATTTCTCCTAAAACTGATCTTTAGCTGAAAGCAGTTGCATTTGCACTGTGCAAGGTAGAATTTTGATCAATTGAGGCAGTAGTTGAGTAGAACTGTAATTGTCGAGGCATTTTATTTAAGAATTTTGCCTTACGTTTTATATGAGTGTGCTTTATGTGTTCCAGGCTTACATGACAATCATAGGCACTTTATAATGAAATTTGTCTTTCTAAATTCTGTCTCACTTTATTATTTCAGTGTTACCAAAAGATATTCATTTCATGGTAGTGATATACTTACACATTAGTCAAGGTCACTATCACTATTATTACTTTCCAGACTAAAGCCATAAAGGTGATAAAGGCAGTTTTTGTCCTCTTAACTAATCCAGTGTCTTGTAGCTTATATTTAGAAGACAACTGTATGGGAAGGTAATTTGTAGATATTATCCAAAGAATCTATATTTATTTATTTGATCTCTGCATATCCTTGTATTAATTGAACTCATACTTGAACTGGTCAGCTAGTTTAGCACAGGCCAAATGTATGCTCTCGCAGTTGAAATGCTACTTTAGCCAATGATGCAATGCAATGATGGATGAGAATAAACAGTTACTATTTATTAAGCACCATTGTATCCTCTATGCTGGATCTTTCCAAATGTTATTTCTCATCTTTACAACAATCATTCAGGGTAGGTGTTATTAGCCTCATTTTGGAGTTAAAAATACTGAGACTCAGAGAAATCAAATAACTTGCCACACATTTAGCATGTGACTGAATTGGGATTAGAACTGATTAAGTCTATCTCCCTCCAGAATCCATATGCTCCTGTTCATGCTCTCAGGTGGCCTCAGAGAACTGTAAATTGTGTCAAGACCTCTGTATTATAGTAACCTTATGAACACATTTTACCTCTCAGATCCTAAAAATAAAATCATGTATTAACTATCTAGAGATTATCTTTCCCTTAAGAAATAGCCATTTGTTATTAGAGATGGTGAACCTCATTAGATCTATAAAATGAAAAAAGAATTCATAATATTTAAGGAGTTAGTCACGCGTCTTGTATCTAGTATTAGAATGTCAGAAGACCCAGGAGTTCGTGGAACATAGGCTTTGAGATGCTCACTCAGGAGGTTTCACACTCTGAGATTAACCTTCCTGCTGCAGTGTGTGTGCAAGAAAGATGTCATTGATCACTTTGTGAGATCACAATACTGCTATAGATAAATAGTAGAAATTTCATAAATAAAACTAGAAGCCTTGTTATGTTGCCGAAAGTAGAATACTTCATGAAATTGTAATTATTACCAACAGTGTATATTATCAGCAGGGGATTTAGGGCCTCTCTTATTCATCCCTGTGTCCCCCATAGCACCAAATGCAATGCCTACCAGGATAGATTAAGTGCTTATTGTATCCAATTAGCTATTCAGAGCTAAGAAGATATTTGCAAATGCCAGGGAAGTAAAAGGAAAAATAGAAAAAAGTACAACTACTTTTGGTAAGATCATAAATTTCACAGTAAATATTTACTTGAACTTCTGATTATTTTCTTCTACATTATTGTATTTAGTGGGTTATCATTATCACCTCTTAGTTGTAAAAATTGAGTGGAAGTAGTTAATTAATGTAAAACATATGGCACATGGTAAAGATTTAATAAATGTTCATTGTTTTCACTTATTTACTGCCACGAGCCCTACATTTCCCCACTTCATGTATGTGAAAAGAAGGTTAACACAGATGGGGTTGATAATGGTTATTTGACTTCTTTAGCGTACAAGAAGAAATCTCTGCTTTCCTGGCCAGTCTAGGCTGTAGCACTCAGAATATAGAAGTTACCTGTATTAGAGACCTCCTATAAAGTAATCTAAGTACTCATTTTTTGGTGTTGCTTGTGAGGTAGGATGTAAAGGGAAATTGAGATGTTTCAAAGACCCAATAAGTCATTTCCCTCAAGTGGGGATTTTTGTCTTACTGTCATAAATAATATATTATTTCCTGTTTACAGCAACCTGTGCTGATTCAATTATCTAGTTGAATGAAATCACCTCTTCTCCTTTGGCAAAAATAAATCTGAGTTTTGGGAGCTGGGTGAAAATATAGTCCTGTTTACTTCCTGAGATCCAAAGGGGAGAATCAAGCCTGGTAGTATTCTCTTGAATATATTTATCTAGTTAAGGGGTATGATTTCCCCATATTTCCTTAAAAAGTGTCAAATATCAATATAGATATTTGCTCATTAACTTTTCATTAATTTATAATAGGAAATTTTAATTCAAATTAAGGACACTAAAAGCCTATAGATTTTCAGATTAAACTTCTAGTTTTGTAAACTGTATTGATCACTTGAATACTCACACTTCAAAGTAAAGAAAATAGGAATTTAATGAATATTTTAAAACATTACTGAAAAGAACAATTTCCCTAGAAATTTAAATATTAATACTAAAAAAATAAATTTTATACAGAATTTAAGTTCCATAAGAACCAAGAAAATAATAGTGTTGCATAAATAAAAAGAAACGGTATGGCATTTTAGATCAAAAGAAGGTTGAAGTTTTCCTAATGAAAGAAAATAAGAACTGTTCAGGGATAACAACATTCCAGTGGTTTGTATCTCATCACATCTAAAAATGTTAGTAGTTCATTTATTATTTTAAATATTATTAAACTGATATTTTTATCTGTTGCCAAAGCAGGACCTGATAGTAGTTAGGTGTTCACAGTTGTATGTACCTTAGAGTGATGTAACTCTGCATCTGAAAGGAATTTTAACATTTTAATAAACCTGGCCCAAACTCTATTTTTAGTTGAAGAAACTGATTTCCAAAGACTTGGACTTGCTCAAGCTCACATACACAACTAGGTATAAGTCTATAATTAGAACTCAGGTATCAGGCTTCCCAGCTGCACCCTGCCCACCATTCCACAATTTTGATAATCTGATAAACCTTTCACACTAACTTTTTTAACTAGTGGTCATTATTGATTTAGCTGACTTGTATCCTCTCAAATGTTCCCTTATTCTCTCACTGCCTTCCCATAACTATCCACCAGATCAAAGCTGGTGGGGCACCTACACTCCCACTTAAGGTGTGGGGAAATAATGAAGTTTCTTAAATCCTGAGTCATGGACTAAGATACCATAGAGAAAACGAATTTCAAAAATGGGAGAAATTGCATGTTAGTCAAAATAGTTCCCAAGAATAAACTAGTACATGAAACAAATTTCCCTGATTTAATCTTGGCTCTGATTTCAATAGTGCTATATTACAAAGTATTTAAACTCATGTACTTCCATTCTACACAAAGCAAAGATATTATCAATTTTCCTGCTTCCTAGGTACATTGGCTGATAGAATAATAAATACTATGTAAATGCTTAACTTGAGACTTCTCTGAATTCTTTTTACTTTAAAATTTCATGGGATTTGATTATTTTGAAACATATATGTTACATGTAGTTGTATAATGTTAACTTGTGTGAACTAAATTCTTGGTATTGAATTTAGGATGTTTTAAGAATTGTTCGAGATGTACTTAATGTCTGCTTTTTAGTAGCATATTTTCATGTAATGCTTAATTAAAGTGAATCATTCAAGATTTATTGGGTGATATTATTTTTTGACTATGCCAAAATTTCATTTCATGATGATAGGAAATGTGGTATGAGTTTTATTTGTGGGCTAAAGATGAAATAATCATATTTTGTTGATACACCCTTGAGTAGAAACGACTGAAAGTTTGGATATAAAACTTTTTTTTTACTTAGAACACTAAACAAATTACAAAAGTAATGTAATTATATGTAAGTATCAAATAATTAGAAAATGCAAATAGCAAAAATTACCCACACTTTCATCTCCCAAAGACAATCATAGTTAACATATTATGTACTCTTCCAGTGCATTTTCCCCTATAGCTGAAATTAAGCTGAGAGTGAAAAGGGTAGAGATACAGTTCCCTCTATCTCTGTCTGTCTATCTCTCTCCCATGCTACCTATATGTGTTTGTACATGAATGTCTATATGTGTGTATATGATGCATATATATATATAATACAATGTGCATACATGCATATATTCAAACATATATATTTTTATTCTTTAAAATAAAAATGAGATCAAACTACATATTTGGTAACCAGATTTTTCCACCCAACAATATATATTGAACATGTTTTCATGCTATTATACCTTTCTAGGAATCTTTGATGCTGCAACTATAATTTGTTTAGCCTATGTTGGGGTAATTTTCTTCCTTACAAATGTTTACTGTAGTAAGTAATAATATGTTCAACATCCTTGTAGTTCGTGTCCTTGTTATTAGATATAAGGAACCTCATTAAATCTATAAAATGAAAAAAGAACTCGTAATATTTAAGGAGTTAGTCACACGTCTTGTATCAAGTATTAGAATGTCAGAAAACTCAGCAGGTTATGGAACACAGGCTTTGAGAGAGATGGTCACTCAAGTTTCACACTGAGGATTAACCTTGCTGCAGTGAGTGTGCAAGAGAAGAAAGATGTCATGGGTCGCTTTGTAAGATTACATTAGTGCTATAGATAAATAAAAGAAATTTCATAAATAATGCTAGAAACCTTATTATACTACCAGAACTACAAGGCATGGAATGAGAGTTGTTTAATGAGTACAAATTTTGCAAGATGAAAAGAGTTCTGGAGATTGGCTGCACAGCAATGTGAATGTGCTTAACACTACTGAACTGTACCATTAAAAATGGTTAAGATGGTAACTTTTATCTTATGTATATTTTACCACAATCTGAAAAAATTTCACGGCAAAACAAAACAAAAATGCTTTTTCATTCATCTATAGGAGGGATATAGGGAAAATTTCTCCATTAACTATAGAATATGTCTTTTCTTTTGGTCTGATGGGATCAGTTTGCTCATCCTAGGTAACTCATCTTTGATTCCATTACAGTTACTAGAAAAATGTCATATGCTGATGGCTTAAACCTAGATTGAATGTTGCGTAGGAAAGCAACAATTTAACTAAACCTTTTAATAACTCTTCTTTCCAGATTTTTTTCTTGGATATTCTTTCCCACTTAATTTTTGAGATAAACTTTAGGGTTCTTTTTAAGCTTTTAAAACAAAATTATGATTCTTGGTAGAATTGCAGTAACCATGCACAACAATAAAATCTGTTGGTTTGAAAAAGGTAGGATGAAACCAATCTCTTTCCAGAGACTAAGTTCACTTGTATTTTTGTGTGTTGTATGGCCACTTTTTAAAATAACCCTTTGGTCGTCATGAGTTCCCTTTGGGGAAAGTCTACTGTGAGCCCGACCCATCCTACACTCACCCAGAGTAACTTAGTTACTGTCTTTTCTACACTGTTTCCTCAGTCTAAATAACTGCTATTGAAGGCCTCTCCTTTGTAGGTGTATGTGTGTATTTCCTCAACTTAAATAAGAACTTTATGAGGACAGGAACTGTATTTTATACATCTTGCTATTTCTAATTTATCAGTGGGCTCTGGATAAATATTCCTTGGCTGATAAAAGAGCAAGTTAAAAATAGA